TGGCCATTAATAATTAAGTATAACTCATGACTTCATTGTTAAAATAAACAGTATTTAATTACAACCGCAAATAAATACTTGACAAGAACAAAGAAGAAAAAGTCGATCAAAGATAATTAACCATTACAGCGAATAACTTGTTAGCAGAGTGGGCTCGGCTTAACGTCCCGTAAATCCTAAATGAAAACCCAAATCATCGACGCACAATAATTCACACTAATTCGACTGGATAGTTCCATTCAATAGTCACTCCAGTCAGTAGCCTGTCACCGCTCATCGAGTGTCACGCTCGAACCTCGGTGACGGTAGTTACTCATTTACTTCCTATATGACAATTATTATTATTATTATCATTATTATTATTTGGACTCATTGAATTTCTATAGCAGCAATGATCGCCGACTTACAACTGAAGATTACTGTCTTTTCATTACTTCAGAAACAGGTTCAGTATTCGAGGTTTTGTTCACATAATTCTTTCTTTCAAAAAAAAATTTTTTAAATTATTTACACTTACCTGTCCCTTAATTAAGTAAAAATGAGCAAATGCACTTTTATGCAAATTTCTATTCAGCTAATGACGTAACCTCACTTTAATTATTATAGATACTTAAACTACAATCATGATGGCCTACTGAATTTCATTTCGTGAATTAACACGGGAAAGAATGGTTTTTAGTGATTATAAATGCGACATAGTCATTAGCGCAAGACGGGTAGGTTTAAAGATTTTCAAACTGCCGAGCTACTAGGATTTTTATACAGAAACATCTGCAGGTTTTATAAAGAATGGCCAGAGAAAGGAAAATTTTTCCCTTGAGTGAAATTTCTGTGGACAGAAATCCTAATCCTGCCAAGGTCGGAGGAAAATATTCAGACTGGTTCAAGGTGACAGAAAAGCAACAGTAGCTCAAATAGCCACTGTTAACAATGGACAGAAGATCATCTCTGAATGCTGAACAAGTTGAAACTTAAAGCAGATGAGCTAAAGCGGCGAAAAAAAATCAGGGGAGGCAACTCTTGTTTTAGAGGAATAAGGAACTGCGACTACAAAAGTGATCAATAGAACATTGAAAAAAAAAATGCGTACTAATCTGATGAGTCTCGATTTCTGTTGTGTCATTAAGATGGGAAGTTACAATTTGGGTGAAACAGCATCAAATTATGGATTCATTCTGTATCGATGGCTCAGTCTGATGGCAGTGGGGGAGTGGTATAGAAATATTTTATTGGCATGCATTTGAAACCTTGGTGCCAATAAAAGTTCAATGTCGCAACCTCACCATGGGCCTCATTTTATGACAAAGGTGGTCAATTACAGTCGGGCAACGCATCATGCCACAAATAAAAAATAATAGTTAATTAGTTCATAGTACACAGCATTGAGTTTTCTGTGTCAAAGTGCCCTCCACTCTGATGGGGTGCCAATCCTAGAGAGCATTTTTAAGTGTGGGGCAAAGGGAGATTCGATTCCTGAATATGCAGACAAAAAATGCAGAAAAATTGGCATAATAAGAGCATAGACCCAAATTTCGAAACAGCGTTTCCAAAACATCGTCGAATCTATCAAAACCGTTATAAGTATAAATGTATATTTAACTAAAGGCCGTATACTTTTCTGACTAGTCTATATTTGTAGTGGCCTTTATATTTTATATCTGTTATTCATTACAAATATTTATTTCTATAGATTTACTTTTCCCAGGGTACGGCCGATAAACCCACTTTAAAAAACCACGACCTTGTGTCACATCTGGTAATGTGTGGGCACGCTGATAAATATCTATATGTTTACTTTTACCTATATATATATATATATATATATATATATATATATATATATATATATATATATATATATATATATAAAATAGAGTAGATAAATTGCTTAAGGAAACAAAAGCAAACGATAGGGCACCGATGTGATCATCACGAAAAACATTTAATATTAACCAAATGACAGAAGCACGTTCAAATTCGGAATTTTCGGACACGCCTGTATCCTTCATCAGCAGATGCGGTATATATATATATATATATATATATATTCAGTTGTATGGATATGAGTTTGTGACCCTGGGTTTCACGCTTTTGCGCTCATCAAACAAACTGGTTTATTTTTTTAAATTGGTTCTATTTATGCTCGTTTCACTATATTTGGTGGTGGGAGGGGAAATTCTGTTTTTGGTTTGGTTTGACACTCTAGCACACATAGTTACACATACATACAGGTGTACGCCTTTTAGTTCACACCAATACATACATATAAACAATTCGAATCTAGGCGCAGATACACATCCATCTGTTCATGCATACATACGTACGCAGCTGTAAATCCATCTCGGTGTCAAGGCCATAGCTATTATTACTACGCATATAAAATAAGTACTGCGCATATAAAGTTATATATATATATATATATATATATATATATATATATATATGTACAGTATTTACATTAGTCGGACAATCAAAAAGTTTGGTTGGCTCTGCACCGCTATAATCAAATCACTGGGTGCCTCATACACTAGGCATAAGCTACGTTTAGTAAATCACTTTATGAAGTGAACAATAATGAATATAAATTCGACCTTGCTAACCGAACGCTCCTCTGTCGCCAAATCGGTAAAGGCACGTCAAGCTAAATGACGGTTCCGTATAGGATACAGGTTCGAACCCTGTCGGAGGAGGAATATTTTCTGTGAAAATTTCTCGGACATTCAGCCCGGCAAATGTTGTTTAATACCGTTTATTATAAACAGAGCATTTACTTAAATATTTGTATCTATAAAAAGAATGTATAAACATAAACGATGTCTTAAAATAATTGTCGGACTTTGTCCATTTCATAATGTGCGACATCATTTGTTTACATTTGATACGCCATGAGCAGATATGAATGTACGTGAGAGATTCATGGAAGATTGTAGTTTAAATACTAACCGAACGCTCTTCTGTGGCCAAATCGGTAAAGGCACGTCAAGCTAAACGACGGTTTCGTATAGGATACAGGTTCGATTCCTGTCGGAGAACGAATATTCAGTGATTAGATTGATGGTTTAACTTCCGACAAAGTTTGAATATATTTATTTCAATTCGAATTTTCATATTGAGATTTTATTTTAAATTTTCCCCAACAAAATGACAAAGAATAGGCTACAGTAACAAACGGACGAAAAAGTCGAAAAACGGAAATATCTTTGAAATTATATAATTGTGTTGAGATCTCAATTTATTCTCGAAACATGTATGAATAAGGTGACGATTTGAAAACTGATTAGTCACGTGTTTCGGATGTTGAATTTACAGTTTTCAGTTAAAGAATGCCAGTTATGGGCACCAGACGAAAACAAAAATGTCCTTAGCAACTGGAAGAATTTAGAGAACGCTATTTTCATACTGTTAAATGAAAATTACTACTCTCCAAAACAAACGTACACAACAATATCAGGAAATGAAAAGAAAATGGTTGAATCTGTCAACACAGCAATAAAAACAATATCTCCAGACGTGACAGTAATTGAAGTAATTTTCAGTTAACAGTATGAAAATAGCGTTCTCAAAATTCTCCCAGTTACTAAGGACATTTTGTTTTTGTTATTATTAGTTACTTTGTTTAAATAAATTCATTTCGTTTTTTGCCCTGAGAAAGTCCACATTGGGCGAAATGCGTCGGCAACTATTACAGTTTTCTTACTGTCTTTTACATTTATATATATATATATATAAAGCGTGTGTAAATATAAAAGTGAACATAGAAGTCAACACTTAGAGGCGACAGTCTGTTTCAGGCCTGACGATTGCATATGCATGAAACAGACTGTCGACTAAGTGTTGACTTCTGTGTTCACTATATTTACACAGGAAACTCTATCTCTGATATCGAGCACTTTATCCGATAAATATAGCACACCTTAAGACTATATTTCTTCATATATATATATATATATATATATATACATATATATATATATATATATATATATATATATATATTAACTATATATATATATTAACTATATATATATATTAACTTTATATATATATTATTTGTATATATATATATTATTTATATATATATTATATATACTATTTATATATATATATATTATCTATGTATATATATATAATATATATTATTTATATATATATATTAACTTTATATATATATATATATATTAACTATATATATTAACTATATATATATATATATATATATATATATATATATATATATATATATATATATATAGATAGATAGATAGATAGATAGATAGATATAAACTAATAGACTTCCAAAGTTAACTTTTTTCTTTCGTTGAACGACGCTATAATTTTGTTTATAAACGTAAATAAGTTTTTTGTGTAGAATTTTAAATTTTAAAGTCCCCAAGTAATGTCGTTTTTGCTATTTATCATAATTCTTTGGGATTTTGTAGAGCAATCTACGAAGTGCATGATTTTATTTTGTGTATCTGAATTATCGGCGCATTTCTTAAATACTACGCGTATGTAGCGATCTTATTTTAATCATTTCTAACTACAAGTATTATTTGAATTTCTCTTTTTTTGTTGTTTAATTTTCTGTGATGTTCAGTATTTCTCGAGTGAAATCATGTTGTTGCTGTTCATTTCATCGAATCCTTTTTGTCCCGACAGATGCCCCGCCTGATGCGAGAAAATTTAATCAAAATAAAACCCCGAAAATACATCATAAATTACTTATACACCATCAGCTGAAGTTGACATAGAAGCGACTTACGACTGACTAAGGTGGTCAAGACAGGATTACAAGTCAGATTATTATAATAATTAAGCTGTCTTGAGTTAAATTATTTATAAAGCTTCACAATTATGAGGCAGCCATTTCCAATCGACTGATTTTTATTCGTTTACTTATGAAATGTCACGTACGTTTTGATAAAATAAATGTCAATAAAGACGAGTATAAACAAGATATATGGAAGAAAACGGTAACAGAGAAACACTGAGCTAGTTAGCTAGTTAGCTATGAATATACTGTGATAGATAGATAGATAGATAGATAGATAGATAGATAGATAGATAGATAGATAGATAGATTTGAACATAGTATGATAGATAGCAACATACTGTGATAGATTGATATGAACATACTGTGATAGATAGATAGATAGATAGATAGATAGATAGATAGATAGGAACAGACTGTGATAGATAGCAACATACTCAGATAGATAGATAGATAGATAGATAGAAAGGAACAGACTGTGATAGCAACATACTGCGATAGATAGATAGATAGATAGATAGATAGATAGATAGATAGATAGATAGATTAAATGGTGCTTGCTAGATGAACATCGATCTAATCATTAGCCTGAGAAAAGATTTAGCCCGTTTTGTTTAGAAATTATTGACACATTTTGTTTAAACCTTGGGCCATATTTTCAAATGGGATCTTTTTTTTTCATAATTTTACTTTGAGTATATTCCCGTTGTGTAAACAACGAATAACCTAACCGAAAAAACTTTTACAAATGGAGGAACAAAACAACGCACAGAGGTCGTCGGGTTATTGCAAGGGGAAGTATTGCTGAGAGCAACAACAAAGGAAGCTGTTGAAAGAGAGAGAGAGAGAGAGAGAGAGAGAGAGAGAGTAATTTCTTTCTGTCTTATAATCTGCTGTCTTGTCAGCCATCTTGTTTGCCCTTGGTACTTATTGACAGGAAGTACGTCAATCTCTATGTATTTAGGCTCACTGTTGCAGTCTTGAAGAAATAATGTTGTCAAAAGCCACGAAAATCATCCTCTGGATTTGTACTCTTGTCTCTAAAATTGAGAGGGCAAATTTTATAATCAGCATAAAATAATATTGACGGTACCGTTACTATAAGAATTATCGTTAACGGATTTAAATCGTGTTGTTGGCTTGAAGCGTTTCTTGTAATTAAAGTGACTGAGCCCAGATAAATGTTAGAATTTGGAATACTGATTCTTAAATCCGGTAGCCTCTTTTATTACAGGCGTAAAACCTCGCTCCATCTTCTGTCACTGTATTTAGTAAGTGTCTCTCTTTATAGATTTGGTAACTGAGGGAATTGCGAGCTTAACATTCGAGTTGGTGTTCGAGTCTAATTTTAAGCCATGATTTTGAATGCTGATTTCGAATGTAACAGGATTTCTAAACCTTGAAGATTGTTAATTTCTCTACTCAATTTGTTATGTTTGGTCATATTTATAATGAAGCTAATCTTTGTATAGACGTTTAGATATTATCTGGTGGTGATTAATTTTATTTGCTTGTAAAACATGTTATCATATCAATGTATGAATGAAAAAAGGCCAGGCAGGTTTGTATATTGACGATAAAATGCAGTAATCTGCCTTTTAGACTCTCTGTTTTTGCTGTGTTGTGTGTGTGTGTGTATGTGTGTGTGTTGTGTGTGTGTGTGTGTGTTTCTTTCGAAGTGGTTTTCTCTGCGCATGTGCCATTCTTGTCAGTTGGTCTTTAAGCAGGCAGCATTTTATAACAAATGGTATTCAACCCGATTTCTTTCAAAAATTGATTTTAATTCCTTAATATCTTGCATTTGCTTTCTGTCTTCAGATTAAAAATAGTGTATCTTTTTTCTTTTTATTGTAAAAATGCATTAAGAATTCTTTGTTTGCTTACGAGCGTATCAGTTTCCATCAATAGTTTTATCAACTTTCAAACAACTTATTTTGTTTCCATTAGATAGTGTTTTGTGTGTTTAACTTTTTTCGCACGAAAATCTTCTTAAACTAAATAAACCTTTCAGTTATTGTTGAGAAGTCTACATTTTCAGGGTTTCAGATTTATCGCAAACATTTTTCTCGAATTGGGAAATTTATATTAATTATATGAAGATAATTTTCTTTTCGTAGATTTAATTAAAAAATAAAATGATTCCCTCCTTGATGTAACAATTATTGTAAATTCTTAACTCGATTTTTTGGCGTATTTTTGTAAACTCAAAGCCAAGTTTGGATTTAATGTGAGGGACCGGAGCGCGTAAGCTCGGGCCAAGGACAAAAATTCTCCAGCCCCCACAACCGTCGGTTGCGTTGGCATCGGTATGACTACAGGTCCCCACTCTCTAGTGCAATGGGAGGGTGCAATCTTGGGCAGCTGTCCGCCAGGACCGGGTATCTCACAGTATCTTATTTTCCCCCGGTTGTGCCTCCGTCCACAAACAGAGCCACAACTGAGTCACACTCTGCCAGAAGATAGAGACGCAACTGAGAGATGATATTGTCATGGTAATATTATCCGTTTCCTTATAAGGAAACATTTATTGACTGGACAACCAGTATTATTGTTAAAAGTTCAATAATTGTTATTAGCTGTTCCAATATTGAAGGAGACGTCCTTCGATATATATTCTATCAGTTTTAGTTCTTGCTTCTGTTGAAAGTCTTCAAGTGATAGAATTTCTTATTCTTGATACAGTTCTTTGTGATTCTGTGAAGGATGCTGTTCGCAGAGGCCGACATGATTCACTCGCTAGAAGTCATTTTAAATAATTGATCTTAAAAAGTAATTGTATATAACTGACTGTTTATATTTTATTATATGAAATCCATATGGAAAGTTGACGAGGCTATTTAAACTCGAGTTTTCAGGTTTATTTAATTTTTAGAGCAATTTGCGTTATTGTACGAAACTAACCCTATTTTAGGTTCCATTTCTTCATCTCCTACACTAAATTTGTTATAACTGATCCATTCATCGAGGAATCTGAAGTACTTAGAATTTACTATTTTAATTTCTTAAATTCTTCTTTTTATGCCATCAGTTCATTCATTCCAATTACAAATCATAGTTTCTGTTTTACAATGACTGATCTTGAGTTGTTTTGGTTTAGTTTGTTTTGTTTTACGGCCTATCAGCCCCAATGAGTTATTTAATGCCGACAAGATTTTTATTGCTGGTAATATTTTTTTTCCAAAAATGTAATGTTGGTAATATTTTTTCAAAAATGTATTGCTGGTAATTTTTTTTTTTCAAAAATGTATTGCTGGTTTTAAAATGTATTTTATATTTTTATAGTGTTTAGACTCCTTTTTTTTGGGGGGGGGGTAAATATTTGCCCATAGCTGGGACCCTTACAGGTGCTACCACCCCGGGTCAGGGTGAAACTGGGAACACCAGTAACTAAGAGGTGGTTCCACGCTCCTCAAAACCTCCTGATCAGAGGCCTTGCTGTCGGATGTAGTTTATCGTTTTACCCAGGACCTATCTTGAGTTGTATTTCTTGAAACATTAGTTGAGGATGTTGATTTGTTTGTTCAAGATTATGCTTATCCCAACTAGGAATGCCCCTATGTCATCGGCATAGTCATCCTTGCCCCGTGGATCATGGTGAACCTTGTAGACTGACGCTACAAACTCACAAAGACCTCTGTAACCAGATAACAGAAATGAAATCAACTGAACAACTTCGACAAAAGCAACAACTAAATTTGATTTATCACATGTAACTTGAAGAGAAAATAATGGCCTCATCAAAACATTGATGTTCCACACTACTTCAAATAAAAGGTTAAGAAGCCAGCTACCAGTCCTGAAAAGAGCAATAACAGCGACAGTACTTGAAAAATCTATTTTCCTGAAAAATTATTTTTAATGAATAATTTTATAAATTTCAATCGATGATGCTCTTTCAATGAATTGCAAATATTTCCTTAGAAGGAAACGGCTAATATTACTATTACTATTAACATCATCTGGCATCGGGATGGGAAGCAGCTCTTTTGGGATGTGATATGCAAGGCTTAAATGATCAGTGCCCGTCGCTTCATATCTGTGCTTGTATATGCACAGTATTTAATGTAGGAAAAGATTAAATAGATTGGAAATATCAGTTTCTCTTGGCATTTCTGATGTGTTTTGCAATGTTTCGCTATTGTGGTCCACGCCAGACATGTACGCTTTTGCGAGAGCGATGTATCAATAAAAATAACTCAGAGATATAGACAGATATTGAAGAAACATTCCAATCACCTGAAGAAGGCCGGAGAGGACAACGGCTAAAACGTGAATATGTCAGTGAAGATAAGGAAAACACTTCGAATAATATAAATAATATGAATTACAGTTTTTTGGGGGATTGTTATTGTTGTAGAAACATTTGATAACGACAAATTATTATGGCTAAAATACTAAACCTTTTCTATATCAATTAATCTTGTCATCAGAATCTAACATATACATATTTCGATATACATCATTTTTAAATATAAATAATAAGTCTGTTGTATAATTATTCAGATTATTCGGACTAGTTTCATCATCTTTGTTGCCATATTTATTACAACGTTTCGGACGTTGTACGCTCCGGCCTTCTTCAGGTGGTTGGAATGTCGAACTGAACCCTTTATTTTGCTCACTGGGGTAGAGTGTTCTAGTTCCATGTGCTATTTAACATGGCCATGTTAAATAGATGTCAGTTATCAGTTATCTCCTGTTAATTTCCCTCTGAAAGTTCTTCACTGCCTTAACCGGGTATTGAACTCACACTCTTTGGGTCCTGTCACTGGATCTAACCAACGCCTTTTATCCACTGTGCCATGTGTCCCCAAAGAGTGTGAGTTCAATACCCGGTTAAGGCAGTGGAGAACTTGGAGAGGGGAATTAACAGGAGATAACTGATAACTGATATCCACTAAAACATGGCACGTGGAACCAGAACAGTCTACCCCAGTGAGAAAATTAAGGTCTCAGTTCGACATTCCAACCACCTGAAGAAGGCCGGAGCGTACAACGGCTGAAACGTTGTAATAAATATGGCGACAAAAATGAGGACAATAGTCCGAATAATGTAAATAATGTACATAATACCTCATCTCAGAAATATAGACAGATTCCGTTGTATACGTATATATTTATGTAGATACCAATATATTATTACAAATATTACCACTTAAAATTACCTTATATTAAAATAAAACAGAGAAAATAGGTTTTGTCTGTTGTAGATAAAAAAATAATTATCTGAAAAATAATTTTGACCTGACCTACTACAATTCCCTCTGGGTCAGCAGCTCAATTTCATTAAATGTCATGCAGAAATTCGTTTCTTAACTTTTGTCTTGCCAAAATTCTAGACAAAGAAAGCGGCAACAAAGAAGAGGAAATTGTCGCGATTCAATTAGAAATTATTTTAAAAAAATGAAGAAAATTGAAGTTATTTTCCCCTTTTTGAGAAGAAGCCAGGTCTTTTCTAACTGGTTGATTAGATGCGACTAAAATACAAAAAGTTACTAAATAATAAATAAAACAGAGTTCAAAATGAAGAGAGAGGGTTGGGGGTGAAATATTTCGTGAATCCTCTTCAAGTTGACCCCGCTGTTGTTGCCGTCATTCAAATTTGATCTTGGCTGTTTGTCGAACTTTCTTGATCAAACTCTTTCGAAAAAGTTGTTTTTTTCTTCAACACGCTATTAACGTTGCCACATACTCTAAATTAAGAGGATGTCTGAAACAAGTTGGCTTTTACTTCGATGAAAAACAGACTAAAAATGACATACTCAAATAACAATTAAGTTGTTAAGAAGTCTAGATCTAAATAATTGTTGACCTTTCGAAATAAATGGCAGTTGAACTTGGCAAATGCAGAATGTTTCACCAATAAGTATCCCCTTAATATTTTATTTAAGATTAACCTGTCTTCTTTTTTTCTTCCAATCTTGCCGATGTATTGGGCACCATCCAAAATTGATTTTTAATTACTTTTTAGCATAGATA